GTTGAAATCTTCTGAAGCAGAAGAAGTAGATGAGGCTTGTAATGTTTTCTTTCAATGGTTGTATCCTAGTTATCGTACAAACCGGATCGCAGAGGTATATCCCAGGAGGATGATCCCTCTGGTGCATGCCTTGAGAGCACGGATAAATTCATACATAAGGAAAAAATCTGAAGGTTGAAAACGAGAGCCAAAGAACTCTTAAGGATTGAGGAACTTGTAAAATCCTTTAAAGAGGAACTTTTCCATGTTGATGATCAACCATTAAAGTTAGGGGAAGGAATGGTATATGCTTCACTTGAATTGAAAAGGAAGGATGATAAAATTGTGACCAAATCTTTTCCTTTACTCTTGATGCAGAGGAGGAATTCAGTAAGCAAATACCGGAATTACTGGAAAAGCAATTGATACCCCCCAGTAAAAGTCCACACTCTTCGCCAGCATTCATGGTCATATATAGAGCTGAGCAGTTAAGAGTAAAGCGCGGATGGTTATCGATTATAGGCAGTTAAATGAAAAAACCATTGACGATGCTTATAAGATACCAAACAAATCAACTTGTTTGATAAAGCAAAATTGGAAAAATCTTCTCCAATTTGATCTGAAGTCAGGATCTGGCAGATCAGGATGGCGGAGTCAAGCATTCCTTTGACGGCTTTCACCTGTCCGAAAGGATTGCTTGAATGGATGGTTCTGCCTTTGGGCTTAAGCAGGCACCATCAATATTCCAGAGGAAATGGTAAAGTCTTTGGAGATTTATCTAATTTTGTGTAGTATATATGATGATGTTTTGGTTTTTAGTAAAACCATGGAAGAACATGTAAACCATCTTAGACTGGGGAGCAAAAGGTTCCTTGATAATGGATGATTCTATCTGAAAGAAGTAGAATGGTTTAAGAACAAGGTGAAGTTCTTAGGCGTTGAGATAGGTGAAGGGTATTCAACTTCAAGAACTATCTCAAAGAAGTTGCTGGAATTTCCAGATGTGCTGGAAGATAAGCACATGTTACAGCAATTTCTGGGTTATCCAATTACATGCGCGAGTATGTTCTAATCTCGCTAACTAATTAATGGCTTGACGCTTAAGGTTAGTGATAAAGTGCCCGGGATTGGACACTTGAAGATACTAATTGTTAAGCGGACTAAGGCCTTGACAAAGCAATTAAAACCTTTAAACTCTCGGAAGATGAGGATAAACCATTATAGAAAGTGATGCATCTCACTTGTATTGGGGAGGTGTGCTTAAGGCTAAGGGTACTGATATATTGAACGGATGTTCGATATGCATCAGGAAAATTCTCTCCTGCTGAGATAAACTATCCTGTCCATGAGAAGGAAGTTTTAGTAGCGAAAGAATGTATTGACCGATTTCGATGTTCGTAATCAGTCAGGAATTTACTTTAAGGACATACTCTAAATATTTAAAAACTTTTATGAAACTGTCTTTAAGGATGACAAAGCTAGACTAATCAGATGGCAGATTTGGTTTTCAGATTATAGAATCAAATTTGAATATATTTCTGATAAATCTAACTTTGTTGCTGACTTTTGTTCCAGACATTTGCAGAAGAATTGTAGGATAATGGCGGACAGAAGAAAACTGGAAATCACTTCTCAGCTCAAGTGTAAGCACCGGGACACTGAGAAGGAATGGCTTTGAAGGTTACTTCTACTTCAAAGGTTACTGCTAAAAAGGAGAGAAAACTGCGGTAAGCAGTGGGCTCTTCTTCAAGCAGGTTACTGCAGTAAAGCAGGTTGAAGGAAAGAACCGTGACTGATTCGATACTTCGGATAGAAGGAACCCGAAATTTCAACGATTGAAAAGTGAAAATTCTACGAAGGAAAATACTTCTGAAAAGAGGATCACTCTTAGAAGAACCGACTCAGAAAAAGGCACTAATTTGCTGGTCTTGTAACAGGAAGGACATGAACGGGCTAATTGTCCACTGTCAAAGATCCAAATTTCGAGGAATCATCTCAGGCGTACAAGCGTGGTGACACACACTCCACAAAAAAAGCGATTAATTGACGCAGTATTGTGGAGAGGTTTAGTTTTCCAGAAGGCTTAAGATTAACTTCAGCTAGTCAAACACTCTGGGAGGATTAGAAACCCAAATTGATTCGCGATGGCGACAGGACAAGGGGAGAGGAACAGCTGCAGAGGGTTTAGAGAAGCTAGTAAAAAGGTTAGCATGGGGGAAGCTGACAAACTGTTTTATGAGGATGAGGAGTTCAAGGGAACGTGCTTACTCTATGAAGCAGGAATTCAAAAACTTGAGGTAATGAGAAATGTCATTTGTTTGACATGTCAAAACTCAAACCCGGAATTTGAATGAATTAATAGTGAAATTGGGAAAAACTGACTTGAGGATGTGGTTCAAGGATTAGCGGTTTATCCTAATGGAGCTATGGGATTATTCGTTCCATGGAAAACTTTAGAAAAGGTTTCTGTAGAGATCTTTTGACTAAAAGATGGATCGATACAATGCAAATTGACTACAGGAAGCGATGGTGGATCCGAATATGCAGATGCGGTAAGCAAACACTCTGTGTATTAAATCGGAAAGTTGACCCCTTCACTTGCATGTACTTCCTCATTGCAAGAGAACTATGATGTTCAGCCTGTACAGATATGGGAATTTCTTGTAGGAGAACCATGGTACCGAATTAGCTCGATAGTGAGGTAAAAAAGGGTTCTTTTGCACTAGAAGAAATTCAGAAGAAAGAAGAGGAAGATTGGGCTAGGTTACACATTGCCAAAATGTTATTGGTTAAATCTAAATTGGAAGAGCTCGTGAGAGTGAATGCTACTGTCCATATTCGAATGGAATTGTGGTAGTTATACCAGACAAGTATGATATGATCCAGGATACTCTTTTTCAACATAATCAGGCCCAGTTGAGAACGTTTTTAGAAGGGTTCGATTTAGCCCATCTACCGAAGCAGGCCTTAATGGAAGGAACTATTGATCTTCTAAGGTTGGTCTTAGCCCACGACCAGGAAGCCCAAGAAGATGCAACTTTAAAAGATTTTATTGATCTATCGAAGTGGATAACTTCAAGGATTGATAAAAATCTAGAGGATGGAGATTTGGACAACCAGAAATGTCCAACAGTAATACGCTGACGTGTATCCAACAGGCGGAAATAATACGTGGACCGTCAGATTTTGCCGACGAAATTTAACGTAGCAATTTAAGGCAATCTTGAATATTGTGTCATATATAATAAGTAACATGTGTAAAATGTAATAATTTAGTTTGTTTTAAACATGGGAGACATAGGGAACCATGTCATATTTTCTTTATTTTCTTTAAGTTACGTGTTAGTTTTTATTAGGCTAAAGTCAAATCACATTTGTTTTGTAATTGACATTATGTTTTGTAAATGTTATTTTATCTACGGATTCAAAAATTTTGAAATCCGAACTTCTCTATATAAAGAGAAGCGTTGTATATTTGTAATCAGAGAAAGTTAATAATATTTTCAGTTTTGAAAAATTCTCTCGATCTCTTGTTTACTTTTACTTGTATACTCGAAACAAGAAAAAAGGATCTATTCAAGACGATCGATATCCAGGTATGAATTAATCTGTTAAACTGAATCTATGAATTTTCTCTCCAATTAATTAACTAGGTTGTTTAGTAATTAATTGTAATAATATTTGTTAGACTGGATATAACAAATATTATGAAGTTTATATAAAAATAAAAATAAAAATTGAAGGCCATGGCTGTGGCGGGGGCCATTGGATAAGGCCATGATCGTCGCTAGTGGACTTGACGGTATGTCATGGCTACTTTTGTTATTTCATTCTTTCTAGATTTGATTTTGAAGTTTTGTTTTTAATGTGTGTGAAGATGGTTGATGATGTGAAGTTGTGTTTTTTTATGTGTTTGGATATGGTTAATTATACGAAAGTTTAATTTATTATTATTATTATTATTATTTTTTTATATTCGTGAGTGTTCGGATCAGTTTGCACGTACCTCGATTAGTCCTATGAAATCTTGAAGTTAACAGTTAGGTAAGCCTTCAATAGTTATCCCTTATTAATAGTCATGTGGATTTAAACTCATGACCTTTTGAGTAATACACCTAAGAGTCCCAAACGATGATTTGTATGTGCAAGATAGCCTTTGTTTGTCCTATGATAGAAATTTCAAAATGTTTGATTAAAATAAAATTGCCTTTAAATAATTATTGCAGACTTCTAGTTATGTCCTTTTAGCTTTAATAACATTTTTAATGTCTTAACTAAAATATAATTATTTTTAAAGTTGATAAAACAATATTTCAACATCTATTATTTATTTAATCGTGTTTAAATTATTTCATTCATACTTATCTCATTTTTTATAATTATCATTAATTATTTAGCTACTTTATCCCTTTAAAAACACAATTATCATATGTTTTTTTAATATAAAAATCAACTAAATGTGTAACCTTGGTTGGGATAATATAATTGTAAGTTCAAAATTGATTTTGCAATTTGGATATTTATTAAGTGAATGATTTAAAAAATTTGTTAAGTTGGTAATTAATGTGAAGGGTAAAATATATTTTTAATTTTAAAATGAGTAATACTAGGTTCATAACCCAATCTCACAATCTTCTTTCATAATCGCAATTGGTCAGTTTGTAAATTGATCCTGTCTGCTTGCTATGGGTCCCATTTGTCTAATTGCAAAGTGTTATATTAAAAGTTGTGAGAGAAGACTATGAGATTGAGTTGTATACCTAACATTACTCTTTTAAAATTGGATTAAAGCTGATATATGACTTGTGTTTTTTATATAATAAAGTGGATGTATTTAATATTAGCGGAGCTTCAAAGAGGTTAAAAAAACATCGGATAACACTGAAAATAATCTGTAGAAGACAGGACAGGACCAGGCCCAAAGGTCCAAAGGCAAGAGCCCAATTTATAAAAGCCCCACATAATTTAAATTAAAATATTTTATTCTAAAATTACCCCATTTTTTCTTCTATCCATTCAAAACCAAAACCTCGTCCATTGTTTTGTGAAGATGAACCTAAACTTAAACATGTTTCAACTTCAACGCTTGCATTTGAATGCGAAAATTTTCTCCTTTACAATTCCAAACCATAACATTCCACTCTTCCCCCCAAACCTCTCACACTCATCTTCTTCGGGTCTTTTTTTTTTTTAATTGTTTAATTCATATCTCAATTCTAATTTTAATGATATTGCTCTTATGATTTATGGGTATAAGCTTCAAACTTCAATTCAGTATCATTTGTATTTATATTAGCTTTGATATTAATTTGGGTGTATTTTGTTTATCTTTTTTATTATTGGAAGTAAAAATTAGGAGCTCAAGACATTTGGTGAACAAATCTATGTCAGAGATGCTTTCGGGTTCTTTTGATAAGGTAATTTTGATTTATGATTTTACAATATTTATGTATGCATACTTACGTTAAATTTCTTGTGTCGTGTTTGTATAATTTGGTGTAATAGTTTGTAGATAGATTTTAGTCAACTTCCATCATCAGTTTTTTGTTAAAATTTTAATACTTGTAGAGTGCAATTTGTTTTCAGTGCAATTGTAAGAGATCAATGGTGATAAGAAGGAAAAACAGGTGTGACCTGTTTTCTATTGGCCCATTAAACATCCATTTTAAAGAAATTATGGGATGGAGCTGTGTGAGGTGACATCAATGGTAGTTCTGCTGAAAAAAATTGATTTTCAGATAAGGGCAGTAAAGAAGATTGTGGCGAAACTTGGGACCGATATGAAACCAAAACCTTTTATATATGTTTTAAGTGATAATAAATTTTATGGGGAGAGTGAAACTGTTCCAGTTCTTAACTTTAATTGGGTTCTAGTTTTTAGCCGCTAGTAGCTGACCTATTTTGTCTTGATGAGATATTTCCTATTGTTTTCTTTTAATACCCAAATGAGGAGAAAGCTGGTCTTGAGTTGCAATGAGGGTTGTTAGAAAATGGTTTCAAAAATGCAACAAATTGATGTAGTAGCATTGTTTATTCAAAACACTCTTGTGATTAATTTAGGTGCTTCCATTATGATATGGAATATTTGCTTCTTGAGAAACTTTTTTGCAACTTTTGAATGATCGACATTGAAAGTAAATGGTTTAGATGACAAATTTTATATGATAGTAATTTGCTACCTGATGAAGTAAGTTCTACAAATATTATGCTTATGATTCTATTATTTAATCTATTTCTAGGTACTATGCTCTGGAATTAGGATTTCTGATGTTTGCAGTTGGAGTTTATTCCAGTGAAAAGGATCTTCTTGAAGCCTTCAAGAGACTAGTGGCTATTTCTGACTTGTCTAAAACTCAAGCTCCAAGACCCATAAAAAATGTCGTAATTCTTGACTATGAAAAGGCTGTTGTTGCTCTAGTTGGAGCTACTTTGGTCCTCACGATGGTGGGAGTGGGACCTGCCTCAGCTGCTGAATTGTCGTTGTTGGCCTCATCTTTGCAACTGAGTGAACCATCCAATGCCTTGTCCTTGCCCACCTGGGCCGTGCATGTCTCCAGTGTTGTTAATGGTGAGGGTTTTATTCTCTCACAATTGTGGCTATTATAATAATTGTGTTTTATTTATTCTCATTAATGCTAAGTCTGATGAGTGAAAAATTGATAGAAAGCAGGTATCTCTTAATCATGTTTGTGTGTGTTTTCTCTAGGTTTTACTTGGAAAATGAAATGCTAACAACAACTTAGCAATTTAGATTCATTATTGTAATTTTGTTGTGTTGTATAGTTGTATAAATTTTCTCTTTATATCGATGATTAACATTCTGTATATTGTGGGGTTTGAATTTTCTCTTTATACCGATAATTAACATTCAGTTTGAAAATGAAGAAGAATAATTGACTGTAAATTTTCTGTTCAAAAGGATTACCGCAATGGCTTTAGTGTGGCAATATGGAGAGAAATCTGAGTATGAAGCATGGAAAGGTCTTTCATGGGGAATGGTGAGCTCTTCTCAATCTTTGCTTGTTACATTGCATTCCTTGTATGACTAACCTAAAATTTGGAATGCATTGTTAATTGGTGTATGCTTGGTAAACATGTTCCGTAGATGAATTTTGTGTTTATTCAAAATTCTAAAGACCTATGAAATATTTTCTTCAATTACTTCACTAAATTATAAGCATTAGTAATAAAACTAGGACTTCTCTATTTTGCTTTAATATGATTTTAAGGGACAGGTTTACTATTTATAATTAAGTCAATACATTGTGAAATGTAGTCACCCCTACAAATTTGGTTTATAGTCTAAACTTACAAATTCTAAATACTAAACTCCACAGAACACAAGTCTAGATAGACTTGACCTAGTTATAAGGATTGTAAAACTTGTTCCAACTTCAATGAGAAAATAAATGGATCAAAGCAACTGATACACAAACCATAATAGGATGAGTATGACTGCATAAAATCCTGTTGCCCCTTTATGTTGCAGTCTTCTTGGAAATAGCTGGAATGATACTAATTCTAGTTTCCTTCTTACTTTAATGGGCACAGTACTTGTCTTTGGATGTCTTATATCTTTTAGGTATTAGCCTTTCAGATTGGCTTGTAGGTTCTGATTTAAAACAGTAAGTGCTGACTCATTTAAATTTACAACTTTCTATAGAGCATACTTTGTTGTTTTGCAATCATCTAAATGACATTGTTTCTTCATAAACTCTTTCTTCCTCTCCATTATTGTTTAGGTAACCCTGCTTGGTGGAGCATTTTGTGCATGCACATGGCATTTCTTTTATAATTCTGAGTCTCTTGAGGTAAGCTTTATTTACTATACATTTGTTTTGAGTAATAGTATAAATTTATTGAAATGGAGAAGCTATTGTGAACTGGTTTTAATAAATGGTTCATTTACTTTACTTTGATGCTTTACACTATATTCAAATCTTAGTTATGGTACTAAGTTAAGTTGGACATGTTTTGTACATTGTTAGTCAAGTATTTGTAATTTTCATCCTGATTTTAGTTCCCATGGAACTGCAATGCCTGTCATTGCTGTGATGTTTCATTGTTCATCCATTACCAAGTGATTTATATTGAAGTAACTAAAGACTTAGAGGTGGAAACAGTATTACCTTTTTTTGCCATCTTTATATGTTAACAACCCAATAATCAGATGTGTGCCATTTTCCAATAAATGAAAAGCTTAATTACAATTATGGAAAACTTGTAAGGATTAGGAGAAAACCCCCGAGGGAGGTTGTGAGATATTTATTAGAAAATGAAGGACAATTATTCTACAAGTATATGTGCAACATGGAGTTATAAGAAGTCTGGTATTCTTAGGAATTCATTAGGTTACTCTCTGATAGACTTGACTGAGTATAAAAAGAACAAGTGAAATTAATTAAGCAAATTGTATAATTGCGGGAAATTACTGATTTAACACAATTATTGCTATGTATTTATCCCTGAATAAGGAGTTTAGCAAATGTTACAACTGTAGAATAAAAAATTATGTGCTCCCTGAATTTTGTTATAAAGTTACAGTTGTGCTTCTTGAGTAATGATAGGAAATTTGAAACTGTGTATGATGTTATAGTGTGGTGTGTGGTTTTGTTCCATTGTAGATTGTATTCACAAGTACTTGATGTTCTAATGACCTTTGCTGGTGTTACATAGGGAGTTTCACTTGCATATTGGTATCTGTGTCAGATAGGTGTTGATTTGAGGATTCAGTTAATGTCATTTTAGATTACATTAGAAGTGTGTCTAGTTCATTAAGTAATGATGTCTTGCGTTGAACTGGTGTTGCTTTATTTTTAGTGTTTGAAACCCAATTTTAGACAAATCAGATCTCCTTGGGTTCGAAACGGTTCTGAGGCTTGGTTAACTAACTCAGAGTATATCACATTTTCTTCTTTTGGCACGGTAAAAGTAGTTTTTTGTTGGCAAATAAAAATGTGCATCAACTTAAATTAAATTGTATGTTCAATGGTTTCATAAAGCTTGGACATGCATAAGCTCTTCTATGTAGGATAAATTCTAAATTGATATGGTTTCAGACTTTTACACATTTTCACATGAAGTTGGAGGGTTTGAATCAGTTTTTTGTTAAACAAACTGCTTCCATCCCAAGTATTGTTCGACTGACAAAACAAGATCAGTAATTTAATCACCCCCTTGCAATTCTGTTTTGACCACTTAACTGTTTATATACATAAACTTAGTGTTCAGTGTATTTGTTGGCTGGATTAGAAATCAACAATCAATATGTACTCACATTACATTTGAGTATGTTATAAAATGGGAACACAAAATAATATTTTGCTTTTGGCCGAGGCATTTTTCTATCCACTACATTCGGGTCACAGTGATTATACATACTATGGATAGTTCTATAGTTCTATATATGAATATCTGAAGACCATAGTTATTTTCATTAACCAATACATTGTTTTGTTGAACATTGCATTTCTGTGCCCTTGTGCTTAATTAAAAGAGTGTGATTATTCTTAGATAAAATATCTCGAATGACATGTTTGTTAATCTATGATCTTTAGGTATTGGTGGCTCTTCAAGCCACGCTTACAGTGATAGGTAATGCTACAATGTGTTATGCTGCATTTCGAATATGCAAATTGTCAGAGGAACGGTCACAGAATCTATAAAATTCCTGTATCAGGATATAATCATGTGCTTGAATGCATATCCTTCTTGTTTATTAGACATATCCATAATGAAGGTAAGCAGCTTGCCAGCTCTCCGTTAGAATGATGAAAAAAAACCACCAGTTTTTTTCCTATGGATTATAGTTGTTTAGCTTTTGCAGTAAAAAAGGAAATGTGATGCTGGAAATGTCCTTGATTGATGACAAAGCCGATTTTCATGGGGCTCAGATCTCAAAATTGCAGGTAATTCTTTGCAAAAAAAGTAATGGATTGTGATCATGTAGTTGTTGAGGAGGGATTGATGGAGCCAAATGCCATAATGTGTTAAGCAGTATCCGGAATGAAGATTTATTTATTTATTTTTTTTAATAGCTATAACTTGTCAAGAAACAACTTTGGAAAGCCTGTGCGTTGCGCATATATGTTTATTGGATGTTTTTTAAACAATTTGTAAACAAACCAACTATATTCGGCCATAAGAATTGTTAAGAATATTTTTTTCATAGGTAATATTAGGGGTTTATATTTCGATGAATGTGAAAGTACTAACACTAATCTTTATATCTTTATATAATTTTTATTTATTTTGGTGAATGTGAAATGACCAATACGAATCTTTATATCTTTTTATTTAGACATTTGGAATGACAATGCAATGCCACTATATAATTCTTGTTAATACCTGTCATTTATACTTACACATTAAAATTATCTAAATTTTATTTATTAATGAAATTACCTACAAAAATTAATAATATTATTTACACTTGGTTTACATAAACTCTATTTCATTTGTTTTTTAACAAATCATTGTTACAATGAAATTGGTTTATCCCTAAACAAAGAGGATGTATTCAATTTGGTTTTAAAGTATGAAAGTGATTAAACAGATGTCTAACAGAAACAATAAATTCCCCTTTCATAACTGTAAAACAGTTTTACACAGGTACAAACTTTCTATGTTCTCTGTATCTTGACCTCTGGAATCTTGAAAACGTCAAATTTTTATTGCGAACTTCTGAATCGTAGATTTACTTACATCCTTTGTTGCGTTGGAATCATCCATCGTGAGGTGAATTTTACAAATGGTGTCCTTGAAATCTACATCAAGTACCAAACATAAAGAATTTAAATTGCTGAGGAGGTCCGCTACCTTTCTTCAAACAGTTTCTCTGACACTACTTCTGTTGGAGTTGGGAGAGGGGTCTTGTTTATTTAGCATTACCTCTTGAGGCTTTCCACTAATTCTCTTTGCCAGGCTTCACTACTACTCAATTCTTTGCATTACACTTCATCAGACCTAGCTATTTCATTCCTATTCTTCTTCTTACCGAATTAGTTAAGAGTTATTGCCTCCTGGACATGTCTGGTTCTTCTGTCTTTGCAAACCGTCCACGAATTCTTTGTTGACAGTTTGCAAGAGCCTTCCTGCAAGCATACAGAACAAAGACGTATAAAAAGTTTTAGTAAGGAGTCTTCCATAGTCTGTTGCCATAAGCAACGCGAATCTATGTTGCTAAGTTAAGAATAGACACGTGCATACACATGCTAAAAGTTCACATAGAATTGTATGAGTTTGTAGTTTGTTTTTTGCCATAACAACAATAATCTAATGGAAAAAGCAAAAAGAATAAGTATTACTAATCAATCTTACCTTGATTCTTCTGCCAAAGTTCCTTTGTCTTTTTATTTCTGTATCTGGAAAGCTCTTCCCTGCGGTCCTTAGTAGGGCAGGTGGTGATCATCACAGGCTGTTCGTGAGGAGAGTGGATGAAGCTCATATTGCCATTACCAAGAGTCTCTCATAAAAACTCAGTATCAATGACCCAACCCCATCCTGTGGAAATGGCCAGAAACATCTAAACATTTTTCAATCCATAGACTACTATGCAAAGTCAATACTCGGTGGGTCATGCCACACATATGAGCAAGGAGAATACGAAGATGCTAACAAATGAGCTACGTTGCCCACAGCAAGACCTCTAATAAGGAGTAAATATTGTCAATAAGTGGTCTAGAATTTATAGAGGAAAAAGATTTAACCAGACTCTGTCCATGGACAGAAAGATTGAAAAACCTTTTAAACAGAAAGGTCTATCCTGTGGTAGTTTCATCTTCTTATGATACACGGAAACACCACAATCATGGACTACAGGATCTATTCAGTGTTGGCTTTCAAGTAATTCATTGGCAGAGGCTTTAAATTGCTGAAGTCTAACTGGATCAGTCGTTACTTTGGAGACATGATTAATATACTACAATGTTTATAAAAAAAACGCCATCAACCATTGTTTTCTCAAAGAATTAAGTGTACAACCTTGATATCAATCGTTTGGAGAGTAAGTCTCGCAAAAAGACCCTCCCCATCTTACCCCATCTAAGGTGACTAAAATAATTGCAGAAAAATAAATCCAAAAAATCCAAGTGCTTTAGGAAACCCACTGCTCGAACATGTAGAGTAAATTATAGAAGCACATACGGGAAAGAGAAAAGGTTAAAAACATTGCAAAAATTAAGTCTGACCTTTATGTCTCCTTCACTGAATGCTCTCTACATGCCATAAACAGATCCAAAATCCATACCCGGAGTCTCCAGAAAACTTGGTTTCATCATAGTAGCAAGAGAAAAGTTAGTAAGATTTCCCAGAATGTATCAAGCTACCAGCACCCAAGAAAAGGCCAAAAATTGCTGCACTCCCTAAGGTAGTTTGACCAAACGAAGTATAAGAAGAGTCCCATAAATTCAAGGAGATACACCATGAAGTTATTGAATACACAAAATAAACTAAATATTAAAAATCAAACTTGACTTCATTTTCTTTGAATCAAGAAACCCAGCTTCAATCAAAGTTTAATAGTAAATGACTTACTCAGAGCTTTAATCAAAGTTTAACAGTAAATGAACTCATTAGCTGATTCAGCCACTGCTAGGGCTGCCGTAACCTATATAAAACATAATAGGCTCTTTGTTAAGAAGCAGATCAAAGATCCGCAGATGAACAAAAAATATCAATGAAATAAATTTCTATTTACCTGAACTAATAGACTCTGTGCTTCGTCAAAATTCAGGAGCACAAACCTTTCAGGATCCTTACCCCCATGTTGTAAAACAAACACAACGTAGCACAGAATGCAAAGTGATGAAATAGACTTAATAAAATAATAATAAAGGGCTTAAAATGTAAACTGAACAGGAACATAATCTCTTCTTTTGATCAATGATATCAAAAGCAACCTGATTGCCTGGAAATGCTCTAGGGTAATCATTTTCAGAAACATGTTGATCATCCCAATGTTCCCAGGCTTCGATCAAAACTGGGTCATAGGGACCTTAGCCAAAAGCAAGAAAAAAATAAACTAAATATTAAAAATCAAACTTGACCTCATTTTCTTTGAATCAAGAAACCCACAAAGCTGTGCTGCAACTGGATCAGATTTCACTTTCCAGATTGCAATTATTGTAATTCATTCTGATTTAGCATGGAGGGACCAACCACAACAATTGGGGCAAATCATGAAACCAAAGACATGCAAGAGAGCGAAATTTCTGGAAGTTAAGCCCAAAGAAAGGAATAAAACTCTACCCAAAATTGCACAAACCCACCTCAATGTAGGATTCAGCAGCGTCAGAGTGCTTCTCATTTGTTATAGCAATAAATATATCCCAAAAGACTGATCACCATTCAAATAAAAAGCCACCGGGTGCATCAATAGCTTGAGGACATGCAAACAGAAAACACAACACCAATTAATTTGCAAAAGATGAATGAGACACGAATAGATAAAAATCTATCCTCCTTTGCATTTCTTTTCAGTAATCCCACCTACAGGATCTGTAGATACTTTCCCTTCAGCTTGAAATGCCTTTGCAGAAGCATGCAATTTTCTCTTCATAAGGTAATGATATATATACACATCCAAACTATTGACCAAAAGAACAAAAAATACCACCAGTCAAAAATTCAGTCTTAAAATTTTACAATAAAAATGGAAGTATAAATGCTTCATATATGTATGATGTAAAATCTTAAGTTGATAGAAGCCCACTGTTCAGATGAGGAAATGCAGAGTTTAAAAAGAGAGATAGAGAGATTTTGTTATCAAAAACCTGGAGATATAAACTGCACAAAACTACAGCCAATGCAATTGTTCAATTCAGTTCAGATAAAACTTTTCCATATTATGGAACCAAACAACACACTACATTATATTAGAGATTTTATATGCCTATATTCCTATCAATTTGCTCCACATTAACTAAATATAAAGTGCTAAATACCATTAGTTAGCGGTAGGCACTCAATCCTGAATTTTCTTTTATATAAATAGAATCAAATTCCACTTTCCAGATTGCAATTATTGTAATTCATTCTGATTTAGCATGGAGGGACCAACCACAACAATTAGGTCAAATCATGAAACCAAAGACAGGCAAGAGAAGGATATTTCTGGAAGTTAAGCCCAAAGAAAGGAGAAAAACTCAACCCAAAATCTCACAAACCCACCTCAATGTAGGATGCAGCAGCGTCAGAGTGCTTCTCATTTGTTCTAGCAATAAATATATCCCAAAAGACTGACCACCATTCAAATAAAAAGCCACCGGGTGCATCAATAGCTGGAGGACATGCAAACAGAAAATCCAACATCAATTAAGTTGCAAAAAGATGAATGAGACATGAATAGATAAAAAATCTATCCTCCTCTGCATTTCTTTTCAGTAATCCTACCTATAGGATCTGTAAATACTTTCCTTTCAGCTTGAAATGCCTTCATAAGCTAATCATTCATATATATATACGCGTCCAACCTATTGACCAAAAGAACAAGAGATACCACCAGTCAATTAAGTTGCAAAAAGACGAAGTACTTCTCCAACATGATCCAAGAAAACGCTTGAATTCAAAATGGGTGCTTCACAATCACCTAATTCATTTTCTACGATATTATTGTCTTTCCGTTTCTCTCCATCGACAAAAAAATGATTTAAGTAAACATAAAATTTTCACATAATTAAAAAAAAAAAGAAAAAAAAAGAAGCATCTCCTGGAATTCAAGATTAATGATGCTGCGATTTTTTTCAACTTTACCCAGTTGGAATTTCAGTTGGGTTTTCGTCAAAAATAAAGTTTTGAAAACTCATTTCATTTGTGGAGAAATAAAAATCTAATGAATCATTGAAATGAGGAAATATCTCTTCTAAGCTATTAAAAAAAAAAATTCCCGGGAAAAGAGAAGAAAATATGATACAACCAAAACACAACCATCTCGTCTTTTATAGAGCTATGAATTTAAATATCTACAAAACTAAACTTAGTCATAAAGTTTACAATTTTATAGCGCTTTGTGACAAATTTCGGATATAGCTTTCCCAAGGCAAGCCGGAGAGATTATGATAAGCATCAAGTACCGAAATGAAAGTTCGAACAGGAAGAATCGACTCTTCACCGCCGCCGCCAATCACTCTGCCACCGAAGTTAACGACGGCCGGTGGGATCGGCACCGAGTAAGTGATGGATACGTTCAATCGACTCTTGTTAATGAAGCAGTGGATACGTTTAATCGATTGGGTGAGTTTAATTTGATAGATGAGACAGAGAATCGCTTAATCAAGAAACGTTTGGTTGATATCAAACTCTTGGAATGCCAATCCAATGCATTAATATCTCTCATTCAATCAATAGGTCAGACCAATCGCAAACACATGCACTAAACATGCAGACACTTTTAACAATTGTAAAGATCCTACTGAATCCTAAGTAGAATATTAGAAATACTGCTGGAATCCTAATCCAAATAACAATCAACAGTAAAGGTGGACTTCAGAATTATATAGATATATGAATGGTGTTGATATATAACTATAAGATAATGTTGTAAACTTATGGTCTTATGCAGAGTAACATGGTTCCACAATGTTTTTTGGTACGTGCAGCAAGCATGCGGATGGACCCCCGTAAATTTTCTTTAAGGTGGTTAACCTTATAACATGATAAATTCAAGGAAAAAAAATTACAAAAATAATATTGTTGATACGTGATTTTGATACTAACTAAACGCATGTGTGAAATGCTGAGCTGGCCCAGAAGATACATGTGAATGGGGGATTGAGAATGTGAATGGTGGCAAGACAATGCTTAAAGTGGTTTGGATGCTTAAACAAGCGAATCCTACGTTCACTGATATTGTATTTATATTTAAAGGGTCAGGTCGCGACTTAGCAGGCTGACTCTGGAGTATTGAGAGTACAAATGAGAGAGAGAGAGAGAGAGAGAGAGAGAGAGAGAGAGAGAGAGAGAGCTATTACAGAGTGAAATTATCTAATCAAGAGTAAAAATGAGCGAATCTCACAAACGGGAGAGAATCTCTCTATTTATAGTGGGATACATTAAGGTAATCATTACTGAATCCGTAAAAAGGGGCCAGGTACTGTGCAAATCCTCCTTTGCGTCCCGTTATTCACCTACTTGCGTGATTTCCTTGCTTTATGCAGGGATTGGACACGTGGACGACCTCCAACCTTTCGTCAGTCTGGCGCGCACCCACTATACTTGTAGGAGCATGCTGCTTACGCCAGCATGCGACGTGGCTGCGCCTGAATGGCTGCAGGATCTGCCTAGACTCTGACCACTTATGCTGACTGGGCCCTACGTCAGCCCTACTTTTCCAAGCATAACAGAAGTCCCCTAATTTTTAAAGTTTGAGAATCGAACCTTGAAAATTACAAATGCCTTGATTAGACGTGTTTGACGAGATGCTGTTCGAAGTGACTTGATTGTGAAGGAGGTCGAGAGGATATCTCCTCGCGTGCGACCTGGGGTGATCTTTGCCCTTACAGTTAGCGACCTAGGTTTGGGTATCCATTGCTATAATGATGATTCCGACCTGGGTGAAATCCTCAACCTGTTTACACTTATTAGCCTTCAAGAGGATAAGTGGTTGCTGCTTCGCAGCTGATATTTGGCAAGGTTGAGGAATCACATCGCTTCGTAACCGACGTGAGACGAGGTTGAAGAGTTACGTCGCCTCGCGACTTACAAAACGAAGAGTGTTTTTCATAACGATCTCTTCAGATGTTATCCGTTGCACTTTTGCAGCAAATACATTAAATGAAGCACCTTTTGCTCTGACAGACGTGTCTTAAGCGTAATAAGTGTCAGCCATGCGCATTAAATGCGAGCCATGTTGAAATGACATTTCCTATCAAAGCATTAAATACGGACGTGGGCGCATTAAATATAGAGGAGGGAAAACGTGCCGTCACTTGAGTATTTCAATAGAAGGGGATGACGATCTGATTTCTCGAGGCATGACGGTCACTCTTCCTCGCTGATTCGTGACACGTGGTCACGATCAACGGTCGAATGTGTTTTCCGCCCAAATGTCGTTTGACTTCGGGAAACCAAAGCGCCACTTCCTCAGCTATATAAACCCCAAGCTCTCTTCAGGCAAAGCCACAATACTTTCATTCTTAGAGAGAGTAAGAAACTTTTGCGAATCTTGGTTCTTTGCCTTCCAGAGTGGTGTTTGTCTGATATTCGGAGCAGAAGAGCCAATCGTTCTCATCTTAAGAGGTAAAGACGAATCCCTTCTCCTATTTTTGGTTTGATTTTGCTTTCAACAGTCGCCATGCAACGACTGTTCGTTGGTATCTCATCGGAGATGAAATATCCTCCGTTGAGTCAGGTCCATTGATGGTGGCCCTTTGAGTATTCTGTTAGGGTTTTTCTAGGGTTTAAGGGAGGAAATATTTATTTCTCCTCCACGTCATCGTACGAGATAGTGCAAGAGGACTGAATGGTTCCTTGCTTGTCGTTTTTGCAGACCGCAGAAGAATGGACCCCCCAACGACCAGAGCCAAGGAAGGGACCAGTTCGTCCATGCAGGATGCTCCTGCGGGTCCCATTTGAGAGATCTTCTTGATACTTATCGAGGAAGAGCTTGAAAGGGTGATAGACCAGTACTCTATCAACGTGGAGGTCTTCCACGATAGGACATGCACAGCTCAGTATTCGCCACGGGGGTTGTCTGTGATCTCCGAGGACATTTTCAAGGGTAGGGGGTTGATCCCTTTCCACCCTTTTGTCAGGTCGGTCCTGGAATATTTTGGGATTGCGCCAATGCAACTCACGCCGAAAGCGTACATGATTGTCGTCGTCATTACATCGCGTGTCGTGAGAACGGGTTGGGCGAGCTAACTGCGGTAGAGCTCGGTTGCTTATTTATTCTAAAAAAGAGCAAAGATAAGGATTCCTACTACTTGTCCAGGCGACCTACCATAGAAGCGGGGATACAAAGTTATCCAAGTAATATGGGACCGTATGAGACAAAGTTCTTTTTCTTTTGTCACGACGGCCTTTGCCACTTCCAGGGCCGAGTAAGTGCTTTTTCCTTTCGAATTTATTGACTTTTTGTCCTTTGCTAACGAGCTGTTTATTTTTCTGGTAGTTAACAAAACGACCAGTTTAGAGCTGCTCGTGGACCCGGACAATCACAACCTTCGGTTTCCTGCCCGAAGCAAGTTGCTACGTGAGGCTGCGCGTGACAATCGCGAACTTGTGAAAATATGGTTTCTTCAACCGAGACGCGGCCCTAGAGACCTCGCCGAGTAAGTTTCTGGGCTTCTTTTTAAACTCTTCGCGTAGCGAACTGTTTTACTAACGGTGTTTGCATGCAGCGACCATGCCTCCCAGAGTGTCAGAGTCACCACGACCAAGGCAATTTTCCTTTCCCCGAAGGGGTACCACCGGACCAGCTAGAGCAACTTCTAGCGGTCCCTCCGACGGGGGCACATTGGCGGCCGATCTAGCCCGACCTGAGGGTGCTGCTCACCTTAAACAGAAAACCACGGCCTAGAGGCCTAAAAAGAGAAGGTTGATTCAGATCAAAGAGTCGAAGTCCGAACCGGAGGGGTTGGGCGTCCAGCCCGAGAGGTCGCAGCCTTACCAAGCCTTCCGCTTAGGAGGGCCAGCTAGTGGCATGACCGGCATCTCCATCACTCCCGAGGGGTCAGCAAGTGAGGTAACAGATGACCTTCGTCCACGGGAGGAGGTCGGGAAAAGAGCCAGCAGGGGGGACTTTACCGGCGGCGGGCACAGGCACCCCCGTCCTGGAGTCAATAGGACATCTACCGGACCATCTGCAACCGATGGTCTTCGCATTGCTTGAATGCAGGCTTGCGGAGGCTTTCGAGCAGTTCATGGCTTCTAGTACCATGGACCTGATGACCACGTCCTTCCACTACCTGAGCCAGGTATACGAGCTGCCCTTAGCGAGGACATTTGCTTATGTGATGTAAATAACTTTATTCTCTTTGCTATGCAGGCCCTGCTCTCCATGCACCTGTCTCTGCAGAAGGTCCAGCTCATGACTGTTGAGGGATTGGTGGAGATGAGGGAAGACAATGCGCAGCTTAAGCGGGACTTGGTGGCCGCTGAAGTAAAGAAAGATTTGTCTATCACCTCGGCGAACCAATACCTGAACTAGAGGGATGCTACTCTTCGCACTGTGGACTTTTAGAAGGCCGAGCTAGAGAGGCACTAGGAGGAGATGAATGAGCTTCGGAGGACAGTGGCTAGACTCACCAGGGAGGCCGGTGAGAAAGACCAGGAGCTGAAAGCGGCCTCTCAGCGGGCCTCGCGAGTAGAACAAGAAAGGGGCAAGCTGTGGGAGAATACTGAGAAGCAGCGGTCAGCACTTGAGGCTTCCACTTTACCCAAGGTCACGTCACTTTGCTAAACGCTGAGATGCAACAGCAATAGTTGGAGATCGAGAATAGGGCTGCATAATGGACGATTCAGTCCATCTTTGCCTTTCTTTCGAGGAATCCTGAGATGGATCTGTCTGGCCTCCCTGACGAGTACCAGAATGAGCTTGCTTCCATGGTGCAGGCCGAGGTTGAGGAAGCGGCTTGGGGACCTGACCTGGAAGAAGAATAACCTAAGTTAGTTCCCGAGGAGCTCGCGTCCGATCAGGCGCCCGACGACTAGCCTGGGGGGAGGATCAGTGATCCGCTTCTCTTGTTTTCTCCCTTAAAGCTTATGTACTTTCCTTTTTTTTTTCATTAATAAAGATATTGCTTTTCACATTCTTTCATGAGTATTTACAATTTCCGCATTCTTTACATATGAGATCGTATTCTAACTGCTTACAATAATATTATTGGTACAAGTTTATATGAACATAATTGTATATATATGGGAAAATGATTACAAATGATCAGAATTGCACACTTGCTATTACAAAGATTGCAAAAATTAAAACCGACCTTTACAAGGAGATAACTGAGTTCGGAATTACTGATAATAAGGTCGGAGATGCTCGACATTCCAAGCTTGGGGTACTTCGGAACCATTCAATCTTTTCAGATGATAAGTCCTCGGTTTTATTACTTTGGCGATGCGGTATGGGCCTTCCCAGTTCGGTCCCAAAACTCCAGCACTTGGTTCTCTAGTACCGAGAAAAACTTCCTTTAAAACAAGGTTGCCGACCTGGAAGTTTCTTCTTCTGACCTTAGAGTTGAAGAACCTTTTCACACGTTGCTGATAGGTTGCTATTCTTAGCTGAGCCTTGTTGCGATGTTCTTCAACTAGGTCTAGACTTGTGCGTATAAGCGCTTTATTGTCGGCTTCATTGTACAGGTCCCTCCAAAGTGAACCGGTTCCTACCTCCATAAGGATCATCGCTTCGCATCCATATGCTAACGAAAAAGGGGTTTCTGAGGTAGAGGTTCTCAGAGTTGTCCTGTATGCCCATAGGACTTTGGGGAGGTCGTTAGCCTAATTCCCTTTGGTTGCGCCAAGCTTGGCCTTAAGAGTGTGCTTGATGGTTTTGTTG